ATTTTTAATTTCAAAATTTCATCCTTTTTTTTAAAAATCAGTTGTTTATTATTTTTTTCATTATTATTCCCCCCCCCCCTTTTTTCATATGTCTATAATTTTCCTTTGTTTTATCTTCATTTTGAACTTTTATATATATATATATATATATATATCTGGTTATGATTAATTGCACACTGGCTATAATTATTTTTAACTTTAATAAAAGGTAGCATTAACTGCATTTAAAGAACTTTTAAAATGTTTCAGTATAAAATGTTTCAGTATCTTTTATAAAGAATTTAAACATTTAACAATATAATATACCTGGCTTTTAGAAATCTTATTCAACTTCAAGATTATTTTATAAAATAGAAAACTTTTGACTGAAGTTTTAAAGCCTATAAATAGATATTTAACAATGTTTAACTCATGACAGCAATGCAACTGAGCAGGAATATAAAATGTTAGAAAAAGCTAATATAAATAGTGAATTGCAACTAATGATATTAATGGAGAAATTTAAGTTAGTTACGTTTTGAAGCTCCTGTGAAAAAATCAAGAACCTTAAAAAAATTTCAAATAGGCTGTCAAATATTAAAACATGCAACTAAGTTAAGAAAAGTTTCAGACAACAAGTTAAGAAAATAGTTAATAGTAATAGAAAATAGACAATAGTTAAGAAAAGTTTCAGACAACAAAATTAGGTACTGGTATTAAGTAGGTTCATTAATTTGCATAAAAATTATGAACTTACTGATTATGAATTAAGCATCTGGCACTTGTTTATAATATATATATTACTGAACAATTATTTGTTCATGAATTAGCTTGATTCATTAAAATTTGAAAATTTAAAAAAATAGCATTGATAACATAATCTAAATTCTTACGCATGACTCATTATTAAGACTTAAGATTTTAAAAATAGTTCTTTTAAAACAGGATAAAAGTTCAGATATAATTAATATTTGTGTCATAAAATAAACTTTCCAAACTATATCTTGACTTGTTTAATAATTTAAAAAAGAAATAAGAGAATAAATTCTAGTCATTAATATTCTGACACCGTTTAAAATAGAGTAATCTAACATGAACAATCATAACAGTTTCGGAACTATCATTTCTTATATTTTAAAAGATGAGCAGTGTTCTTATAATTTGCTTAAAAACTTACCAAAATATATTTAAAAATTAGCACATTTCACAAAAATCAACTATATATCTTAAAATTTTCATCTACTGTTAATTTTATAACAGATAACATTTTAATTTAAAGCAAAATGGTAGGCTTTTTGATATATTAATACTACTATCACTGGATTAAGAAATTCAAATATATATTAATAATACATATTTCATTAAAAAAATAGTCAATATACCTTTCTAAAGAATTGGTTACTTAAAATAACAGTCAAAATTAGACAAATATTCAGTTAATTAATTTATAAATTAAAAGTTTTTTAAAATAAATGTTGTTATGATGATATTACATGAAACCATTATTTAAGAAATACTGAAAATGTAAGCAATAAGTATTCAAATTGTTATACTTCACATTCAGAATTAAAACTAACTGCATAGTGAAAAACTTCAGAATCTAATTTTTATGATATATTTATTCTAAATGCACACACTTTAAAAGCTGAAATAATGACAGCATTAATGCTTTATTTTAACTGATTTAATTATTTTAATAAAGTAAAACCCTACATAAGATTAAATTTACAAAATGTTTGCAAAAAAACGATCAATGGTTGTTTGAGTTGCAGTATTTAAAATTAACTTTTCAACATCATTTGAGAGTTTATAGAAGTTTGTATAGTTTTCGATATTTCCTCCTCTTTGTTCTAAAGCTTGCCGCAATACATTAAGTGCTTTTCTGACTTCCATTGAAGATGGCACTAATGAGTTTATTTCATCTTCTGAGTTGAGTTGAAACAATGTCCCATGAGTTACGAGTCAAATGCATTGATTCCAAAATAGTAAGGGATTTCGATACCTTGTTTGCAGTTAAGAGTTCGGAAGAGCTGTCACAGTCTATGTCACTAATGATTTTTTGAACAACCATTTTTCTGTAATGAAACTTGAATGATCTTATGATTCCCTGATTAGGGGGTTGAATAATAGCTGTAGTGTTGGACAGTTTTTGGAAATCTATTTATGTTCTCTGTTAAGATAGATAACAAAAGAAACTTCTCTCCTTTCTATGGTTCATTCAATAAAAAGTAAAATAAGAATTCGACCCCCTGTTGAGTGAGATAGGTTTCTCCAAACTTCATTCAAGTCAAGGAATTTACATTGATAAATTGATTTCTACAAACTTGCTGCTTACCACCCACATTTTTCCTTAACTCTTACACTATGTATATCACTGGGAAGTGCTAACCACACCTGTTTCACAGGTTTGTGATTAACTGTTGCTTCTTCTAAAAAAAATCTTTAAACTTTGAAAAAATAAAATTTTAAAAGGATGTTCTTAACAGGATGTTCTTAAAAGGATGTTATTAAAGGATGTTATTAAAGGATGTTCTTAACATGTATTAATATTGTAATGATTCGGTTCTTGCCGATTTGATTTCATAAAGCGGCTGATTTTATTATCTGGAGATTTTATTAGCGGCGGGCACTGTAATTTGAACATTAAAGATAAGATTGGTTTGCTATGAGGTAGCAAATGATTATTCGTAGGGAGCCAGTGAATTATTTCTAAAATTGTCTTATGAAGTTGCTGAAAAAAATAATACAATTCAGTGGAGATATTTTTTAAGGAAATCATAATAAAAAAAATAAAAATAATTAAAATATATAATTAAATAATTTTAAAAAAGTATTTTCAAAACCAAGACAAGAATCATATTAGTTACTAGAGTTGAGCAACAAAACATTTATTCTTAACCATTGTGATAACAATATTTGATTTATATTGAGAAAATTTTAATGCATATTGAGTATATGATAATTTTCAAAAATGATAAATATCAAAAACACAATTATCAATTACAGTTCTTGAACATCAAAAAATTGCACTCTTTATTTAAAATGACAAATATAGAATGTGATAATACCAGGAGTATTACCGACATTGATAATTATAGATTATAATATTACGCTGAATTTTATATTTTGCTTGGTTAACAATAACTTGACCAAAGTCAAGTTAAATTTGAAAAATATTGTAATACACTGTGAAATATGTATGTTTCATGGCAATTTATCATGATATTAAAATTCTAATTAGGTCCCATTAGTTACATTTTAAAAAAAATTGTTAATAAAATATTAGATAACAGACAGATTTTCATGCTTAAAATATTATGTAACAAGAAGTAGAGTTCAAAAATTTAATTTTGAAATTATATAATGAAAATATGGAATATCCCATTTGCTAGTAAATTTACAAACATTTAATAAATCTCTAAAAACTTGAATAGACAAAAAACTGCAAATATATTTAAATAAAAAAAAGCTTATATACATAATTATGAAATAAAATACAAACATTGCCCAAGCTGAAGACATTAAGCAGGCTTTGTTGCAGGCCAAAGGAAAAATCAGGGTAGCAATGAAAAAAACACGACAAAATTGGAACAGATTTGGAATGGCAGAGCATTTTTTAGAACAGTTAATTAAAAAATATAATAGTAACTCTACTTAATAGTAACAAAATAAAATTTAACAGCAAAAAAATTACTTGTTGATAGCAAAAAGTTTTAACAGTTTCCAGAATAATTTTATCAATACAGAGCAAATAATAGCTCCAAATTAAAATATGGAAAAATTTGATGGGATTGTTGCATTAAAAAAATGAACAGTATCAATTCGTCAATATTTTACTCATACCAATATATAATTCAAATGTGAAATTGAACTGAAGATTTCTTTAATCTAATTAAAGTAGGGCTTCAATAATCTCAAAACTAAAATGCAATGAATATGTTGCTTAACATTTATGTACAACACTAATTTTAGTGAGCAATCTCCTAATTCATCATTTAAAAGTTTTATGACTGCTTGTTGACTGAGATCACATGAAAGAAAACAATCAATATTTGTGAAACTGGAAAATCTTACAAGATTTTTTGTTGTATTTGTTGAAAATAATAAGTAAGCATATCACCCTTGAAATCAACATCATAAAAATTGGATGTTGCAAAATTGCTTATCAATTTTCCTTTCGATTGAATGACTTAATTCCCAAAGAGGTTGAAACAATGAATCCTCTGGGTAAGGTTATAAATATCTAAACCATGTAAATAATCAATGAATAAACAGTCCCTATATTGGAACTATCAAATATTGCGATTTTGACAAGCATTAAAAAAAAAAAAGAAAAAAGATATTGGATCAAAATTTTTCAATTCTTTAAATCTACTTTTTCAAAAATCTGAACTTTAATTCCTGGAAAATCGAATATTCTATACACACACAAAATTCAGGACAAATACGGATAAAATACTTTTTATTAGGAACATTAAGATTATCAGGACAATTACTAACCTGACTTATTTTTAAATTCTAATTTTCTAAATTCTAATTTTTAAAAACAGCAGTCTTGAATATAAAAACAAACTGAGATCAAGCGTAAATAGAAAAAACTTGATTATTCTGTCAAGAAATTAAAATGAGGTTAATTTCATACACACACAATGTAACCAACAGACATTTGTAACGATGGGATTATTTTTTTAAATACTGTTCAAATTTTGTAAATCAAATCTTAAACCCATATCAATGACTATTACTAACTCTGTTCATTAAGCTCATTAGTTATGTAAACTAATAACTGGCAATGTATGGATAAAAAAAAAAATATATAAAAGAGTAAAGGAAAAAAATTTAGATTGGCTAAGTAAATAAAAAATAATACAGGATAT